CAAAGAACATGAGTATGTTGCTTTGAATTTACTCAACTCAGTTAAGTGGAACCAGGTCACATAACATGGTTAAGTAAATCCAACATTTCATTTTTAGAGTGCTGTTAGCAAAAGATTTATGAACCCATTTGTTTCCAGTGCATATTTGGGAAGCTCTGGGCYTGTAATAACAGTCAATTACATCCAATGAGTTTTTGCAGCATGAAACACACAAAAAATATATATATCTGCAGTTGTAAAAAAAATGTTTTCTCACCCAAAAAAAAAAAAAAATTCATCCAAAAACCTTTTTGTAAAGGTTCAGAAAATAACTCATCTTAAATCATCAGTGAATCAAAATCAACCATTCAGTTTTGCTGAACAGATTATAGAAAACATTTCAATATAGAAAATGAATAAAACTGCTGACTAAAAACAAAGAATCATACACATGGTCTGAAAATAAACAACTGTACATAAACACGCAAAAATCTAATCTACAACTATGGCAAAAACAAAACTGCTACAAGCAGCGGCACAGAAAGGGTGAACAGACCTCCTGCATGATGATGCAGTTTGGATGTTTCCACAGTTCTGGTTCCTGTGTAAGAAGCACATATGGTCCCACTGGTGCCGTTTAAAAATCAGCCCCCAGAACTTCAACTGGCATAAATTCAAGACATAAAATTCATTTTAAAAAGTTCCCAGGTTGTGCATTTTATTTGTTGACACCATTCATAATCATCTTCATAATCAAAGAGCAGATACAGAAGAAACAAGCTGTTTTCTGGAAGACTTCAGGTGATCAGGCAGCCACAGGCTGAGATGGTAACGGCAGTCCTCAGGTAGTTTGTCTTGGTTCTTTGAATTACATAGTCTGTTGGTTTTAAGATGTTCCTCAGATCAACAAGATGTGCACAAGAGGAAATGAGTTGGACTAAGCACTGAAAGGTCTGTAATCAAGGCTGCTTGTGACTGCAGTGGTTCAGGATCCAGTGAAGAACCAATCCCTTTCCTATCAAGCACAAACCTGAGAGTGAAGTCTCCTTTAGTACGGGTCAATGAGGAACAAATCATAAATCAAACAAATCTGAGGATTTGTCCCTTGAAGATTTTCCAACATCATGTGACCCTGCTGCATTTCCCACCTGATTCTCATGTCAGCTCCTTCACACCCCAGCCCACCTCCAGAATCCCACTGCAGTCCTAGATGTGTGTGAGTGGGACGGTTCCAGTGAGGTAGTGCTGCTGGACACTGGCGTAGCTCCTCTGTGCAGTTGCAGGGTCAGAGGAATCCCCTCCTGGTCCAGGAATGTACATGCTGATCATGTCCCTGAGATCCCCCTGCAGAGCTCCTCGGTGGTGGTTTGGCGTCCCTGCTGAGGGGGAGTGGGACACGGTGACCGGGCTCAGCTGCTGTGGACTGTTGCTGTACGACATTGGACTGTAATGAAGAAAATAAAAGAGCCATGTTTTAGTACAGCGACTCCAACACCCCAGGTTAAATCACTGTCTTTTGTGAGAGTTACTATTGGATTGATTGATGATGCCTTTATTGTCAATGTACAGAGCACAATGAAATTACATTTAAAGGGATCCCCGATTAGTTGTAACATTAGATTTTATTTAATAAACATACATTTTAACTGTAAAATAAAGACTGTAAAAATAC